GTAGCCTCCGGCAGAGTAGCCTCAGTCAGAGTAGCCTCAGTCAGCGTAGCCTCAGTCAGAGTAGCCTCAGTCAGAGTAGCCTCAGTCAGAGTAGCCTCAGTCAGAGTAGCCTCAGTCAGAGTAGCCTCAGGCAGAGTAGCCTCCGGCAGAGTAGCCTCAGGCAGAGTAGCCTCAGGCAGAGTAGCCTCAGGCAGAGTAGCCTCAGTCAGATTAGATTCAGGTAGGGTAGTGAGCGTGGTCTCAGTCAGGGTGGATTCGGTCAGAGTAGAGCGGGACAGAGTATGTTCCGTTAGAGGTACATTAGATGAGGTATGGTGATCGAACAGTGGCAATGAAGCTTTACTAGTCGAGGGTGTTTTCGTAGAACTACCCAGCGACGAGAAGACATCAGTCGGTAATGACGATGTCCAGTTAGTGGTGTACCCGACGGGAGTAGATTCGTGAGTGCCAGTGGGCCACTGAGTGGTGATGGGCCAACTGGTAACAGGTGATTGGGTCGTCGACTCGACCGCCTTTTGCGGCCAGGTTGAAGCCGGTGGTGAGTTAGACAAGTCGACAGTGGCGGGTGCGCTTGTCGTTGATAGGGGCGCAGTTGTGTATGAGGAGGAGTCAGAGTGGCGATTGGTTGAAGTGACAACGGGCACCGCAGTTGACTCAGCGGTGGTGGTTTCGATAGCGGTTGAATCCCAAGGTCCGATGGCATCAGATCCGATAGAGCCGAATCTGGTGGAAACGAATCCAGTCGTAAGTTCCAGACTTTTTTCGGGGCGAGTTCGCTCCACAATGGTCGGGAAGGGGGGTTGGGTAGTGGTGGTCCGGATTGGTTCGGAGACGGGCATTTTCCTCATCTCATCCGCGGTCGTTTGTTGAGTCATTTGTTCAATAGCTGGATCAGTCAAACTGGTATGCATCGCATTAGATGACGATGGTATACCATTAGTGGTGAGTTGCTTTCCGGATGACAAATTATCCTTTATTGTTATTCCCGATGTTCCTTTTGCCGTCGGTACCACTTCCGTTGTTACCTCCTCAGTTTCTCCCGATGTTTTTTTCGGAGCGGGTCGCGATTTTTCGTCAGGTGCGATAGGACCGGAATAAGTGCCCCACGACCACGTGGTTTGTCCTTCCGTATCGGTTATGTCCAGCGACGGCCAGCTGGACGTTTCATCCACTTCATCTTCTTCCGGTTCGGTCCAGGTGTCTCGAACATCGATCCGTATGTCTGGAATGAGTGGAATGTCTACGTCGATCGGTACCCGCGGATCGCCCAGTGGCAAGTGGCCCGGACCGAGGGGGAGCCAATCGACGTCCGAGGGGGGCGCGCCAGGATTGTCCACGTCGATTCCCTCATCATCCGGTCCCTCCGGAAATGGTTCCAAAATAGCGTCAAATTCGTCAGGATCTACTAACTGAGGATACCAGTCCTCCACTGGCCACTCCCACTCCCATTGCGCTTCCGTCAGCACTACCAAGAGCCGCCAACGCATTCACAAACGCTTGTCCCACACACAGAAATCGATTCGGCCAACATTGCAGTGAGCCGATTGTGCACCAGGCCGTGCCCGGTCAGGACTGACTGTGCCAGGTCAGGACTGACTGTGCCGAGTCAGGCAGGTTGGGTCTTCTCAGCTAGACGCAGTTAGCTTCCAAGTCGGCGCGTATATAGGTTTTATCATAGTTATGGCTCCACCAGAATTTACTAGAGTTATGGCTCCACCAGGATGAGTCTGGAGTGTGTTAAGTCGAGAAGAAAGAGTGAAGGGAAGCGGGTCTTTTCGTGTTCTCCAACAACCCAGGCGGAGAGACAGAATCGCTTGGAGTCACGGGGTTTAATGACCCCGATAACCTGAAATGAAAGTGACCAAGCCGTGCCAGCTGACTCAGTCAGATTTTCACGGATTAGTGCAATAATGTTAGAGGGGTAGGGTATGCCAGGTGCGCACTGTGCGAGGATCTTGTCCAGTTGTTCGTCTACATCTGGTGAAAGTAGAACTAAATCGATCGGTTCGTTCTCATAGTTAGTGATCAGCGCCTCCACCGTCAGTTGGCTGCCCAAAGAGTCCCCACCTACACACGACAATAACGTCATCTGTAACGGCGTTGGAATGTGCGGCCGGCAGTCCGCAGCATGCTGCGCCCACGACGGCGTGTTACCCTCGATGTGCCACTGAATTGCCAACGTAAACACCGTCTTGTGATCTAACTCGTTCCAGGTCCGCTTCTCACCGACTACAAAAAAAACACACGTTTGCAAACACGTTTGCACACACGTTTGCACACCCGGCAAAAAAGGGAGGGGGGGGAGCTTACGGTTGGTGGGTCTCATGAGAGACGTTGGCACGGATATTACGTATTCCGATTTGGGCGACATCTCCAGGGGAAACTCTGCCTCCTGTAACGGAGCCGTTCTCGTGTTCATGGAGTCAATGATGATCGAGTAATCTTCCGTCACGTTAGCAATCTTTACGAACAGCTGGTCGTCTTCAATCAGGTATGTACAAAGTTCCACTGACTTACACACCTTGATGGGGTGCGAAACTGTCACTATGGGATCCGGACAAACCAAGGGAGCATCTCCATCCAAGAAGCCGAGAGTACCATCGGGTAAAGACGAGGAATCTTTCTGTTTCAAGACGCAGTGCAGCTTGTTGTATAAGCCTAGTCGATTCTTTAACACCGCTAAACACATTGCAATGTACATTTCCCTTGCAATATGCATTTCCCTGTGTCCCTGTGTGCTTGATCGTCCACACGTGTGCGTATTCTTTACTTATGTTTAGACGCATTTTATACAGGCATCCGATACATATGCCGTTGAAGTATGTGGGTATATATTGGCAGCAGTAGGAGATATGTTCGACGGGGTCTGACTGGCTTTCCCATAGTTGCTGTGTGAGAGCAGTAGTAGGAGGATTGAGATCTGTTAGTATGTCGGCGGTGACGAGTTTGTCGTGTATGTCGTATGGTAGGTAGATCCTGGGTTGGTGGGGAGCGGATTGTTTCTTGATGGAGCTAGGGCATAGGGGAGGGTCGTGGGCCGGATCATCTTCAACGGATTGGAGGATACTAGCCATGGAAGTTTGGTCATCTTCGAACTCGTGAGTAACTATGCGTTTTTTTTTAGCAAACTCGCTTTGGTGTCTTCGTAATCCCCGCACCGCATCCTGGCTTCCGCTCCCGCTAGCGCTCCCGCTCCCGCTCACCTGCAGGTCCTGCCCGGCGCTCGACATTTCCACAGAAGACATCTTGAAACTATCGTCCCCCACTGAACTCGCCAACTCCGGACCTTGGTCCAAGCTTGTACCCGACTTGGCCGTCACGGACCCCTTCCGGCCCTCGGACTTCACCTTTCCGAAAATACCCCGCACCGCCGCTCCCACAGACATGCGCTGCTTACGACTAGGAGATAAACTGCGGTTGTCAGACTCCGTCGCCGGCATCTTACTGGGAGACAAAGGCGGAGATGACTCGCCCACCGGGTTGAGAGACACATTGCGAGACACATTGTGAGTAACGCCCTGAATAACGTCCGGCAACACACCATTCGACACACCACCATTCGACACACCACCATTCGACACACCACCATTCGACACACCACAATTCGACACACCACAATTCGACACACCACCATTCGACATGTCATGGGACATGTCGTTTGAAGTGGGGTTTGGGGTATTGTCCGATATGTCATGCGACATACCGGGCGACATACCGGGCGATAGATCTAGTCCGCGGGGTGCATTTTGAGACGGGTCGAAGCGGTGGGTATCTTGGTCTTGACTGACACGTCCTAGGGGCCCGCCTAAGGACGATTTCAACGCCGTCCCCATGTCCAACAGGCGTATTTCTTGGGACACATTATCAAAGGTAAGGTGGTTCTCATCAAGTGTGGCCCGACTTAAGTCCGGTGGCCATTCTGTCAGGACTAGCCAACTGAAATTTAATGACTCTCCCTGCAACAACGTATCACGTCCGACCAATACCGATGAGTTGTCCGATACTTCGTGTGCCCGATTCCGCAAATACTCTACAGGGGTCTCATTCAACGGAGGAATGATCAGCACAGTCTTCATCAGAATGCACTCAAGCACACGAACTGTTCCGAGCAAAAATTTCACAGCAGATGGCACTGCCCTCCCTTCTCTTTGGCCGCCCACCCACCCCCGGCCGCAACCAGCCCACCGTGGTCTGGGGCACAAGCCTTTTCGTCGTTCGGGGTTACGGCCGTCCGAATTCGACTTCGTCGATACAAAAGGTAGTGGGGAGGTTGCTCAGGAGTTCGATGGAGCCGTTGGGGGTGGTGATTCGGTCAACTGTGTCGGGGATGAGGTTGGCGCGGTCTGGTTGTTCGGCCACGACCATGGTGATGGCCTCCACCATGCCGTCAGCGGTAACGGGCACGTACGCCCAGCCGATATGGTCCTCACGCATGTAGTGCCACTGCGTCATGTATGTGATCGGGCAGGGGTCGATTTGCGGGCTCAAGAGGTCCTGTACCATCAAGTTGTACGTCTCCTCTAACTTATGGATGGGCCACATCCGGCTGCACTCAGCAGACATCATGGCATAAGCACCTTAACATACAACTATCACCCCCGACCGCAAAAAGTGACGACTACTAGCGGGCAGGCAGCTGCAGCGGGGGTGACTACACAGTGGCAGGTCGAGAGTGGTCGGGAAGGGTACTCGTAAATTGTCTGTTGACTATTTTGTGCACAAATTTGAGAGCGTAACATAGCACTTGCTCGTCTGTGCCTGTGAGCAGGTAGTCCCAGCCCTCCGGCGTGAGAGTAACCTGTATGTAGTCCATTGGTTGAAGGTCCATTTCGATGGAAAAAAGACGGATTTTAACCTCCTGGGCCAAGCGCACACGTGTGAACTTTAAGGCCTGCCGAATGCAATGGAGTCGATTGAGAATAGGCCGAGGTTGTGGCCGGCAATGGGTATGGTTTGTGAGGCTGTCTTGATTGCCTCCATCTCCGCGGGCTTCCGAGCCATCGCAGGATCACAAGTCATAGTCACCGTGACCGCTTCCGAAATACCGTCCGCACCAATCGGCACGTAGCAAAACATTTCGGGGTCTCTCTGGAATGAAATCGGGTCAGGCTCCACCGACCCCTCGCCTCCCATATTTTCAATCATGGTCGCGAAGTCGGCCTCGAGCGACTCTCTCGTCCAATCAGTCTTGCACTTGTCGGACAGCATTCCATACGCCTCTATCATAGTCACCATATATCACAGCCATCGGTCTAGTACTTGCCCGAATATAGTGCTAGCATCTTCCGTGTGATGGATGTTCCCTCTTCCGTGTGATGGATGTTCCCTCTTCCGTGTGATGTTCCCTCTTCCGTGTGATGTTCCCTCAGTCTCTCCTCCAAGTTCCACAGCTGGGGGTGATCTCTTACTGTCGAATTCCTTGTCCAAAAGTAGTTGGCTGAAGAGGATGGCGTAGTAGGTTGCTGCTTCGTCTTCTTGCTGTTTAAACGGTTCACTCCATCCCCCGTTTTGGTACGATGTTTGCAAAAGCTCCGTTCCCATTATCAATTGCTGCCACTAATTA